CCTTTGGCCCTTATCATCTCCAGAGGCAAGTTCAGATGGATCTGAATTTTGTCACACACGCTGTCCTGTAAGCCCAGAAGTCCCCTGGGCACTGCTCTAGCCTCCCAGGCCCAGGCAGTACCTAGAACTGGGTTCTGTTTGGGGCAAGGGCATCCCATTTATCCCCCTCCTAGACCGTGTCCCCTTCAAAGAGGCTGGAACAGTGAACTCTGGGTTTATGCTCACCTACCCCCACCTCCAATCTCTTTCTGAGTTAACAGAGAGGCCAACAGCTAGTCCTCCAGTCTCCGAGCTGGAGCTGGGCAGCTCTTGGGCGCGCAGGCATGGTGGCAGCTATGCCAGGGCTCCATCCCATGCCTTCTTCAGCTGAGCACCCCTTCCTGGGGCCCCGGAGGGAACACAGCCCCTGGCTGATGGCACAGGGTCAGGGTCCTACCCTCAAGGAGCCAGAAGACGGGGGTGAGGGGCTGGTTGAAGAGGGCGTGGAAGGTGTACAGGGGCTGGGTCTGGGGCTCCAGGCTGTAGAAGGTGAGGCAGCCTGAGGCCAGGTCCAAATCCATGCCCAGGAGCCGCCCTGACACCCCTGGGAGGCGCTGGGCCTGCCCGTTGTGCCAGGCCTGGAGGCTGTCCCCCTGGACGCAGAGCCCCCAGGAGCAGGGTCCTCGGCCAATGTTGTCTGTGTGGGGCCCCACCCTGCACCGTGACAGTTGCGGGTAGGAGACGCCCAGTGTCACTGAGTGGTCTGACGCGCGCACCTCCCAGTAGTGGTGCCCGGCCTGGAAACTCTGGGTACACTGCACCTGCCAGAGCTCGAATCTGCCGGGCCTGCCTGGGCCCTGGGACTGACGGCAGTGCTTCACCTGCTGGTCCTGGCGCGACAGATAGAAGTGACGGTTGGCGCTGATTGGATCAAAGGTCAGATTGCGATAATCTGTTGGGGAAAGGAGGACAGAAGTGGGCTAGGGGAAGACAGCACAACTGGATCTCCATTTATCCGCTGCTAAACCTCCGCCAGGCATGCTGAGCACCAGCAGCCACCACAACACTTAATCCTCGCCACGACCTCGCAGGCAGAATCCTCTATCAGCCCCGTTCACAGCTGAGAAAACTGGGGCTCTGAGATCCATTAACTCAGTATTAAGTGGAAGAATCGCGGGTCTGTGCCCCAGACTCTGTCCTTCAATGAACACTGGCTGCCTCTGCTTCAGGGTGGATGTGCACAAGGTGTGCAGGGGGTAGGGCCAGGCTCAGATGTCCCGGCAGGACAGTCACAACACGTGCCCCCCTCACTCACATGTGCATACAAACGTGTGTGCACACACTTGTTCACAGCACAGGCACCTCCTTGCACACGCACACAGTTGCACACATACACGAATGGCCTCCTTACTCTGCCAGAGTTTCCTCCTCAGTGGACAAACTGTGCTTGGGACCGGTGCCAGGGGACCTGGGGCCTCTAGGGGGCAAAGCAGCATTAGGAGAATGGTTGGAGAGGTCATGATGTGTGGGCCCTGACCCCCCTCTGCCCCACAGCGGGAGCGGCAGCTGGGCCCAGGGCAGTAGTGGGGGCCTAGGGTCAGTCTTACCCATGGGGCCTAAGTCCACAGGCTTGGCTGGTGCCCCGGGGTGGCCCCCCTCTTCCAAGAGGAGGCCACACAGCCGGCTTAGCAACTGCTTCAGGTCGCCCAGCTGTTGGTCTTCATCCCACTGCAGAGGGGTCAGTGGCCCAAGAGGCCCTGGGGGCTGGAGGAGCTGTGATTCCTGAGCCCCAGGGAGAACAAGTAAGCCCGGGCCTAAGGG